TCCATGCACTGTGACTACCTCAGGACACATACCCCGTGTACTGTGGCTACCTCACTTCACCTCTCCCCTCTGCGTACTGTGGCTACCTCAGGTCACCTTTCCCCTCTATGTGATATGGATACCTCAGGTTATCTCTCCCCTCTGTGAATTGTCACTATCTCAGGTCATCTCTACCCTGTGCACTGTGACTGCCTCAGGTAATCTCTATCCTGTATACTGTGGCTACCTCACTTCACCTCTCCCGACTATACTGTGGCTACCTCAGGTCACCTCTCCCCTCCATGCACTGTGACTACCTCAGGACACATACCCTCTATACTGTAGCTACCTCAGGTCACCTCTCCCCTCCATGCACTGTGACTACCTCAGGACACATACCCTGTGTACTGTGACTACCTCAGGTCACCTCTCCCTTCTGTGTACTGTGGCTACCTCAGGTCAACTCTCCCTCCTATGTACTGTGGTTACCTCAGGTCACCTCTCCCCTATGTACTGTTACTACTTCAGGTCACCTCTCCCCTATGTACTGTGGCTACTTCAGGTCACCTCTCCCCTATGTACTGTGGCTACCTCAGGTCACATCTCCCCTCTATGTAATGTGGCTACCTCAGGTCACATCTCCCCTCTATGTACTGTGACTACATCAGGTCACCTCTCCCCTATGTATTGTTACTACTTCAGGTCACCTCTCTCCTATGTACTGTGGCTACCTCAGGTCACCTCTCCCCTATGTATTGTTACTACATCAGGTCACCTCTCTCCTATGTACTGTGGCTACTTTAGGTCACCTCTCCCCTATGTACTGTGGCTAAATCAGGTCACCTCTCCCCTATGTATTGTAGCTACCTCAGGTCACCTCTCCCCTATGTATTGTTACTACCTCAGGGCACCTCTCCCCTATGTACTGTGGCTACCTCAGGACACCTCTCCCCTATGTATTGTTACTACATCAGGTCACCTCTCCCCTATGTACTGTGGCTGCCTCAGGTCACCTCTCCCCTATGTACTGTTGCTACCTCAGGTCACCTCTCCCCTATGGATTGTTACTACCTCAGGTCACCTCTCCACTATGTACTGTGGCTACTTCAGGTCACCTCTTCCCTATGTATTGTTACTACTTCAGGTCACCCCTCCCCTTTGTACTGTGGCTACCTCAGGTAACCTCTCCCCTATGTATTGTTACTACCTCCGGTCACCTCTCCTCTATGTACTGTGGCTTCTTCAGGTCACCTCTCCCCCATGTATTGTTACTACTTCAGGTCACCTCTCTCCTATGTACTGTGGCTACTTTAGGTCACCTATCCCCTATGTACTGTGGCTAAATCAGGTCACCTCTCCCCTATCTATTGTAGCTACCTCAGGTCACCTCTCCCCTTTGTACTGTGGCTACCTCAGGGCACCTCTCCCCTATGTACTGTGGCTACATCAGGTCACCTCTCCCCTATGTATTGAAGCTACCTCAGGTCACCTCTCCCCTATGTACTGTTGCTACCTCAGGTCACCTCTCCCCTATGTACTGTTGCTACCTCAGGTCACCTCTCCCCTATGTACTGTGGCTACTTCAGGTCTCCACTCCCCTATGTATTGTTACTACTTCAGGTCGTCTCTCCCCTATGTACTGTGGCTACCTAAGGTCACCTCTCCCCTTTGTATTGTTACTACCTCAGGTCACCTCTCCTCTATCTACTGTGGCTACTTCAGGTCACCACTCCCCTATGTACTGTGGCTACCTCAGGTCACCTCTCCCCTATGTATTGTTACTCCCTCAGGTCACCTCTCCCCTATGTACTGTTGCTACCTCAGGTCACCTCTCCCCTATGTATTGTTACTCCCTCAGGTCACCTCTCCCCTATGTACTGTTGCTACCTCAGGTCACCTCTCCCCTATGTATTGTTACTCCCTCAGGTCACCTCTCCCCTATGTACTGTGGCTACTTCAGGTCACCTCTCCCCTATGTACTGTGGCTACCTCAGGTCACTTATCCCCTATGTATTGTTACTACTTCAGGTCACCTCTCCCCTATGTATTGTGGCTACCTCAGGTCACCTCTCCCTTATGTGTTGTTACTACCTCAGGTCACCTCTCCCCTATTATGTACTGTGGCTACCTCAGGTCACCTCTCCCCTATGTACTGTGGCTACCTCAGGTCACCTCTCCCTTATGTTTTGTTACTACCTCAGGTCACCTCTCCCCTATGTACTGTGGATACCTCAGGTCACCTCTCCCCTATGTACTGTTACTACTTCAGGTCACCTCTCCCCTATGTACTGTGGCTACTTCAGGCCACCTCTCCCCTATGTACTGTGGCTACTTCAGGTCTCCTCTCCCCTATGTACTGTGGCTACCTCAGGATGAAATACAAATTAAACCTTTAATTGCTATGGTACTACCTCAGGTCACCTCTCCCCTATGTACTGAGGATACCTCAGGTCACCTCTCCCCTATGTATTGTTACTACCTCAGGTCACCTCTCCCCTATGTACTGAGGCTACTTCAGGTCACCTCTCCCCTATGTACTGGGGCTACTTCAGGTCACCTCTCCCCTATGTACTGTGGCTACCTCAGGATGAAATACAAATTAAACCTTTAATTGCTATGGTTAGGAGTTCTGAAACAATAGGGCATACACAGAAATCTTCAGAATAACATTGTCATAATTTCATAAAGCTTATTTGGTTTATTTTTATCATACACCCTGTAGGATAGTTGAAAGGCCTGAGGCGATTTTCAGGTATTCAAGTTATTGATTAGTCAAATAACAAATGATTGGCTGAAGAAGTCATTCTCCATAGTTAAAATTTACGGCTAAAAATAGAATGATAAAAAAGTCCTGATGTTGCTTTTCTTAAAGCTTTATTTTGACAGGACAGACACATACATGGTTGCATCAAATACAGTTGCATATCAAAAGTTTATCAATATACACAGAAATACTGAGTCTGAGAAATAAAGCACAAAGCTTTACAGAGATAGTGAACAGACTAGTGTTAAGTTATGTGCACATATGTCCTTATAATGGACAATGAACAGCTTTGAGAGTTATCAAATTATGTACACATAATTGTATGTCCTTATATGGACAATGAATAGCTTTGAGAGTAATCAAATTATGTGCACATATGTCCTTATATGGACAATGAATAGCTTTGAGAGTAATCAAATTATGTGCACATATGTCCTTATATGGACAATGAGTAGTTTAGTGATAAATCATATCACGTGCACAATATTCTTATACAAACCTTTTAACTAATCAAATTATGTGCACAAATGTCCTTATAAGGACAGCGAAAAGCCTAGTGACTAATCAAATATGTACACATAAGTATTTTCTGCATATATGGTCAGTGAATAACCCGATGACTAATCATATTAAGTGCACATATATCTTTATGATTATATAACCTTGTATAGACGCTGAACAGCTTTGTGACTAATCAAGTGCTAAATATTACATAATGGTGTATATATGTGTGTTTGGTGGGGACAGTAAACTATAAACTGTAATGATTAGCACTTTTGGTATATATATGTGTTTGGTGGGGACAGTAAACTATAAACTATAATGATTAGCACTTTTGGTATATATATGTGTGTGGAGGGGCCGTATAATATAAACTATAATGATTAGCACTTTTGGTATATATATGTGTGTGGAGGGGCCGTATAATATCGAAAGTAAATGATGAATACTTTTTGGTATGTCAGTGTTTAAACATACAACATAATGTTACCCCAATGCAATTTAATCATAATAAAAAAAAATCAACAATAAACCTTCACTTTTGAACTGAAATTATTATTTTGTTTTTTAAGCAGAAGCAAAGCAAAGATTGGTACTTTCAGAGACAACAATTTGTAACTTGTACTTGCCATCAAAATTATTAAGTATATCATTTCAAAGTCAAAAATACATTTATTCGCCAACAAGCATGCTGTAACAAAATGGACAGTTTTGATACTATATACATGACACACACGCAGGCATTTACATGTGACAGGCAACTATGTTGATCATATTGAACACTTGGGTACAAAAGTGGAATGGAGATCACTGTTTTTTAGGGGAAATATGGTAAATATTGTTTAGATAGGTTATATGTATATGTATTACAGCATGTTTTGAAACATAAGCCAATTAGCATTTAAAAATGAACTTATATTAGTCCTTCATATTACTTATTGTCATATTATACACACAACGTCATGAGTGTCACACCTTTGACACACAATGTCATATGAGTGTCATATGTTTATACACAATGTCATATGAATGTCATGTGTTTGTACACAATGTCATATGAGTGTCATGTTTAAACACAATGTCATATGAGTGTCATGTTAAAACACAATGTCATATGAGTATCATGTGTTTAAACATAATGTCATATGAGTGTCACATGTTTAAACATAATGTCAAATGAGTGTCATGTGTTTGTACACAATGTCATATGAGTGTCATGTTGAAACACAATGTCATATAAGTGTCATGTTAAAACACAATGTCATATGAGTGTCATATATTTATACACAATGTCATATGAGTGTCATGTGTTTATACATAATGTCATATGAGTGTCATGTGTTTATACACAATGTCATATGAGTGTTAGCTTATACATAATGTCATATGAGTGTCATCATATATTTATTCATAATGTCATATGAGTGTTATGTGTTTATACATAATGACATATGAGTGTCGCATGTTTAAACACAATGTCATATGAGTGTCACATGTTTAAACATATTATCATATGAGTGTCATGTGTTTATACACAATGTCATATGAGTGTCATGTTTAAACACAATGGCATATGAGTGTCATGTTTAAACATAATGTCATATGAGTGTCATATGCTTATACATAATGTCATATGAGTGTCATGTTAAAACACAATGTCATATGAGTATCATGTGTTTAAACATAATGTCATATGAGTGTCATGTTTAAACATAATGTCATATGAGTGTCATGTAAAAACACAATGTCATATGAGTATCATGTGTTTAAACATAATGTCATATGAGTGTCATATATTTATACACAATGTCATCTGAGTGTCATATGTTTATACACAATGTCATATGAGAGTTATGATGTTATACATAACATCATATGAGTGTCATATATTTATTAATAATGTCATATGAGTGTCATGTGTTTATACATAATGACATATGAGTGTCGCATGTTTAAACACAATGTCATATGAGTGTCACATGTTTAAACATATTGTCATATGAGTGTCATGTGTTTATACACAATGTCATATGAGTGTCATGTTTAAACACAATGGCATACGAGTGTCATGTTTAAACATAATGTCATATGAGTGTCATATGTTTATACATAATGTCATGAGTATCATGTGTTTATACACAATGTCATATGAGTGTCTCATGTTTAAACACAATGTCATATGAGTGTCACATGTTTAAACATAATGTCACATGAGTGTCATGTGTTTATACACAATGTCATATGAGTATCATGTTTAAACACAATGTTATATGAGATTCATATGTTTATACATAATGTCATATGAGTGTCATAGCTTTTACTATGACATGAGTGTCAAATATTTAAGAATGTCATAAGTGTTATAAATTTTAAACACAAGTTATGAGTGTCATATATTTTACATACATTGGTGTATTTATGATATTTCAAGGTTTCAAGATTTTTATTTTACACTCAGCGATCTGTGTATCGAGCAAGTGGTCACATGTATATGATTCATTTATATATAGAACTATTAATAATGTCGTGTGTACAGTCAATTTTTATGATACATTATGATACGAGTGTCATAGATTTTATATATGTCATGAGTGTCATTAAATTTCAAAATTGGACAAGTTTTTCATAAAGTCAGCTTATCCATGATATATTCTTGGTGAATTTCTAACAAGACGTTCTGTGAATTAGGTTCAGATATTTATATGAGATCAGTCTGAAGAGGAAGGAATTGGAACCAAAGAATTAAAAATCAAAATCAAATGATATACATTCTAAACATGCAAATGCCTTTCTCTTTGGTTGATAATGAACATGTCAGAGAATTCTTGTCATCGTTTGTACAAGTAGAAACATAACATATCACTATCTTTAAACATTACTACAATAACTACACAATGTTCTTAAAAATAACTTGATGAGTAACAGGTTAAGTATTTCCAATTGAAAAAAAAATTAACAGGCAAGGAATGTTTACCAAAGGAAAAGAAATGCTTATTCTTGAAAAAAGAAGGTTCAGTTTTTTGCAAATGAGAAAAGGAATCTTTTTTTTAGGAAATCAATATTTCACCTTCGAAAATTAATGCTGGCTTCTGACCTTTTGATGAAAGATTACTGGTACAATTGAAAAGTGATGATTATCCTTAGAAATAGAGGGTATATTTTTGCAGTTGGGGAAAGGAATGCTTCTCTAGAGAAAGTTTTGCCTCTGAAAAGTAAAGCTGACTTTGGAAAAAATGAGATGTCTTTTGATAAAAGAGTACTGGTAATTCAGAGGCTGTTAATACCATTACTCCTCCACTATCTGACAACACTTACAGGTCTATAGTGCCTCTTTCCCTGGCAGGCCTATTTATACAGGTCTATAGTGCCTCTTTCCCTGGCAGGCCTGTTTCAAAAGGATTATTCAATCTAGCTTCAATTCCAAAGTTTGGTCAAATGGAAGATTACGAACACTCGATAGCATCCGAAGAAAAGACACTAATATCTGCCATGCAAGTATGAGGTTGAAGTAATGATTGGTTTTATCACTATAAGACTGTAGCTCTTGTATCTGCACCAAAGAGTTACTTCCTTGTCAAAGTAAAAACATTAAAATGTTTTGTCTGGAAATACTCTCCTATTGAGGCCAGCTGTAGAAAATGAACTTAATTTGAGCTGTAATTTTTATATTGAGAACCAAGAATTGTAAAATATGGACAAACAATTGTTTGGAAACAGAAGATCAATCATCTCTGTTATTCAATCCCTTCATCTAGATCAACTTGAAGCAGACATTTGTTAATCTTACGCTATACTTTGTTTGGATGTTATGGGTTATTGTGATACTGATGATGTCACTTACCATGCTCTAGTGAATGAGAGAAGGATGAGTGTTGGGATCAATAAAACTACAGGTGGTACCATTGATACTGCATAAAACTGCTAACTTCATTATGAGACGTGTATAGTATGAACAGGAGTAAGGGGCTTACATCATATTGGTGAGAATACAACTCGGTCAGATAGGAATGTAGTATGAAAATAGAATGAATTAATGTATCTTCTGAATGTTTGAACTGACCGTAGCCACGGACTGTTTTTCAGGTCACACGTGACAGCCCGAACACTCTGTATTGCCTACACCATTGGGTGACATCATTCCTTTGACCGCTATGAATTTTCATACATTTGACCACAGAGTGATGTCATAAATTTGACAATGACCACTTGGCGATGTCATCATTGACCAATAAGTGATATCATACAATTGACCACTAGATAATATCATCATTGACCACTGGGTTATGTCACCATTGACCACTAGGTGATGTCATCATTGATCATTAAGTAATGTCATAACCTTGACCACTAGGTGATGTCATACCCTTAACCACTAGGTGATGTCATACCCTTGACCACTTGATGATGCCATCATTGACCACTTGATGATGTCATAATTGATCATAAAGTGATGTCATCATTGATCATTTAAGTGATGTCATACCCTTAACCACTGGGTGATGCCATCATTGACCACTTGGTGATGTCATAGTTGACCACTATAGATGTCTCCTTATTGACGACTGGATGATGTGTCATATTACTGACAAAGAATGATGCATGTGGCATGCACAGACAAGATGTTTAAGTACACCAATACCACACATCAATGTTTAGTCTTAATTTGAATCATTTCAGTCATTCACAATGTTCCGTGTAACTTCTTCACTTATTCTAATTTCTGGTTCTGGTAGGATTGATGAGAGAGGTTCCGGCTGAACTACAACTACTATATTTTCCTTATCACCTGGTTCTAGCTCCATTGCGTGTTTCATACTTCCATGACTTTCTGACGGTTTGAGAAAGTTATCTGACATATCAATATCTTTGGCTACATCACTTAACTCTCTTTTCATGAAGAAAGACTCTTTTAAGTCCAAATCGGACATATCAGGCACCAGTGTTTCAGTTTTAAGGTCTAACACAGAACTGTCCTCTTTATCAGAGTCATGTGTTGTTTGCATCTTCCATGTGTTCCGGTCAAGCCTTGTCATGGAGATTCGCGAGCCTGCACGGCAAATGCTGACATCCTTCTCGGTGTTTGTGACCTTGATCCGCTCGTGTGGAACACAGATGTACACGGGGCGGTAGATGATGTACATCTCGTTCTCGTTCTCCTCATCGTCCCCCGTATACACCTGACCGACCTGGAACTCAGAACTGATGTACATCCCACCTTCAACATTCTCTGCTGCCACATCTGTAAACACAGGATTTTGACAACAATTTAACCAAACGGGGAAGACGAACATAAAAAAGCAAGGACTTGGTACAAGAATATTTCCATCTAGTGGTTTTCAGGATGTAATTGGCAAGAACCTCTAAGTAAAAGTTTCCCTGTCTCCTTTCTAACCCTGTTCAATGTCACATTATCACCACAGAAACGGAATTAAGGGCTCCACTAATCACTCGACCACATCGTCCCCAGAGACATGATTTATGACCCAATTGTATCAACGGCTAGTCACTGACACCAAATGACTTTGTCACAGGACAGGGAAAATGTGTAAGCCCAGAGTTTATTCACAATAAAACAAATTAAATACAAATCACATCACCTCTACTTACCATACTGCATGATGGGATACGGGGCATTAGTGATCCGATACGGAGTGGTTGCTATGGTCATCGGGAAGTTGAGTTCCAATACTTCTCCTGTATCTTCCATCACAAGACCAACCTATGAAAAAAAAATCAAAGAATTCATCTCTCTACTTTCCATTGAACTACCAGGCATGGTCTTGATCAACTTCGCGAAGTTGGGTCTTGTTGGGATGACTCAGATTATGCATTTTTTTTCATATTGCTAAAAAAACACACCATTAAATCAATTTGTTATGATGAAGTAGGCTGTAAAACTTCAAACAAATCCAAAACTGGTAACAGCTTTCTTTATACAATTTCTGTTTTTTCACAGAAAAACGAATCATTGCAGGAAGGTTTCAAAGGAGATTTGTCATGGTAAAGGGAGATAACTCAAGGAATTAAATTATTCTGTTGGACATGTTTAAATTTTAATTACTTACAACTTAAATTAACTGTTTTTACCAGATTTTTGTTTAATATAAAAAAAAACAATTTTTTAATTCATTTATACAAGGATGTCAGGACTTGTGAACACAATTTATACAAGGATGTTAGGACTTGTGAACACAATTTATACCAGGATGTTAGGACTTGTGAACACAATATATACAAGGATGTTAGGACTTGTGAACACAATATATACAAGGATGTTAGGACTTGTGAACACAATTTATACAAGGATGTTAGGACTTGTGAACACAATTTATACAAGGATGTTAGGACTTGTGAACACAATATATACAAGGATGTTAGGACTTGTGAACACAATATATACAAGGATGTTAGGACTTGTGAACACAATTTATACAAGGATGTTAGGACTTGTGAACACAATTTATACAAGGATGTTAGGACTTGTGAACACAATATATACAAGGATGTTAGGACTTGTGAACACAATTTATACAAGGATGTTAGGACTTGTGAACACAATTTATACAAGGATGTTAGGACTTGTGAACACAATATATACAAGGATGTTAGGACTTGTGAACACAATATATACAAGGATGTTAGGACTTGTGAACACAATTTATACAAGGATGTTAGGACTTGTGAACACAATATATACAAGGATGTTAGGACTTGTGAACACAATATATACAAGGATGTTAGGACTTGTGAACACAATTTATACAAGGATGTTAGGACTTGTGAACACAATTTATACAAGGATGTTAGGACTTGTGAACACAATATATACAAGGATGTTAGGACTTGTGAACACAATATATACAAGGATGTTAGGACTTGTGAACACAATTTATACAAGGATGTTAGGACTTGTGAACACAATTTATACAAGGATGTTAGGACTTGTGAACACAATATATACAAGGATGTTAGGACTTGTGAACACAATATATACAAGGATGTTAGGACTTGTGAACACAATTTATACAAGGATGTTAGGACTTGTGAACACAATTTATACAAGGATGTTAGGACTTGTGAACACAATATATACAAGGATGTTAGGACTTGTGAACACAATATATACAAGGATGTTAGGACTTGTGAACACAATTTATACAAGGATGTTAGGACTTGTGAACACAATTTATACAAGGATGTTAGGACTTGTGAACACAATATATACAAGGATGTTAGGACTTGTGAACACAATATATACAAGGATGTTAGGACTTGTGAACACAATTTATACAAGGATGTTAGGACTTGTGAACACAATTTATACAAGGATGTTAGGACTTGTGAACACAATATATACAAGGATGTTAGGACTTGTGAACACAATATATACAAGGATGTTAGGACTTGTGAACACAATTTATACAAGGATGTTAGGACTTGTGAACACAATTTATACAAGGATGTTAGGACTTGTGAACACAATATATACAAGGATGTTAGGACTTGTGAACACAATATATACAAGGATGTTAGGACTTGTGAACACAATTTATACAAGGATGTTAGGACTTGTGAACACAATTTATACAAGGATGTTAGGACTTGTGAACACAATTTATACAAGGATGTTAGGACTTGTGAACACAATTTATACAAGGATGTTAGGACTTGTGAACACAATTTATACAAGGATGTTAGGACTTGTGAACACAATTTATACAAGGATGTTAGGACTTGTGAACACAATTTATACAAGGATGTTAGGACTTGTGAACACAATTTATACAAGGATGTTAGGACTTGTGAACACAATTTATACAAGGATGTTAGGACTTGTGAACACAATATATACAAGGATGTTAGGACTTGTGAACACAATTTATACAAGGATGTTAGGACTTGTGAACACAATTTATACAAGGATGTTAGGACTTGTGAACACAATTTATACAAGGATATTAGGACTTGTGAACACAATTTATACAAGGACGTTAGGACTTGTGAACACAATATATACAAGGAGGTTAGGACTTGTGAACACAATTTATACAAGGATATTAGGACTTGTGAACACAATTTATACAAGGACGTTAGGACTTGTGAACACAATATATACAAGGAGGTTAGGACTTGTGAACACAATTTATACAAGGATATTAGGACTTGTGAACACAATTTATACAAGGACGTTAGGACTTGTGAACACAATATATACAAGGAGGTTAGGACTTGTGAACACAATTTATACAAGGATATTAGGACTTGTGAACACAATTTATACAAGGACGTTAGGACTTGTGAACACAATATATACAAGGATATTAGGACTTGTGAACACAATTTATACAAGGATGTTAGGACTTGTGAATACAATTTCACTTTTGTTACAACACAAAGAATTGTTATTTTTCCCAACAGGACATCAATCACAGCAGTATAAAGAATAACAAAGTGTTTCTGTGTCTAATTACTACTGCAGTCACTCAGTAACAAGAGCTATACTGTCAGAGACCATCCCAAACAGCCATAATTAACAACCTATTGTAAATCAAGTTCAATTTGATTTTCATCTCAAAAGTACATTTCTGATGTCAATTCCACCTGGAGCCTTTTTATTTTTCTGCACATTGTACACTGGCTGATTGTGAAACTGTAACCCAGTGTTGAATACAAAAGAACAGAAAATAACTAGTTGTATGATCTTCACCAAATACAACTGATTAACATGACTACACTATACAACTGATTAACATGACTACACTAAAGTTAATTAAGAATATACTCGTACATCTCTACCAAAGATAATCCGTGCCTTGGACCAACTGTACTGTTCTCAATACTTCAAATGTCCGAGGGTAATATGCAGGTAACAAATTCACCGATGATAGATTTTTAAAAAAAAGTAGCACTTTATATTTTTATTGATTAAAATTACACAGCACCAAACAGTGCTTGAACATTACGGCGAGAATGAGAATCAGACATAATTAAAAAAAAAAGGCAAATTGGTTTTTGTTTACTTTTCACAATAAAATATCAAGAGTTCATTTTTTGCTGAAATAAATTGATGAATTTTGTTCTACATGGTATGTAATTTTCCAACTAGATTCTACATCTTTCAGCAAAATCAATTACCAAAATTACAAGTAGTAATTTAAAGTATCGCTCACCTGAATATGTTTAAAATAATTGGTATGAAGTAAAGATATAGCACTCCATGGTAGGTGCTGTAAGTACATATGAAATTTCAGAAAGATCCATCCAGTACTTGAGATATAGCAAGAACAAACTTCAAACAGAGCCCCACCCCTATGCCCCTTGGGGGGTCATACCCACCAATTATACAAAATTGAGACCCATTGGTCCAAGGATACTCCAGACTAAATATGGATAAAATCCCTTAATCCTGATGGTCGAAGAAGGATTTTAATGGTTTTACCTCTATTTCTCCTATTGGGCCCCACCCTTCTGCCCCCTGGGAGACCACACCCACTGCTTATACAAAATTGAGTTCCCTTGGCCCAAGGATGCTCCAGACTATATTAGGATTAAATTCCTTAATCCCTATGGTAGAAGAAGGATTTTAAAGGTTTTACCTCTATTTCTCCTATTGGGCCCCAACTCTCTGCCTCCAGGGTGGTTAGACACACCGTTTATACAAAATTGGTTCCCCTTCACCCAATGATGCTTCATACCAAATATGGACAAAATCCTGTCATTCGTACAGAAGAAGAAGGTATTTGAAGAATTTGCTATGTTTCCCCTATTGGACCCCTCCCTTCTGCCCCCAGGGGGGCCCCACTCATTGTTTATACGAAATTGAGTCCTTTTTGTCCATGGATGCTCAAGACTAAATTAGGATAAAATCCCTTAATACATATGGTAGAAGAAGGATCATAAAGGTTTTCCTTCTATTTCCCCTATTGGGCCCCGCCCCTCAGGTCCCAGGGTGGCCACACCCACCATTTATACAAAATTAGTTCCCCTTTACCCAAGGATGCTCCACACCAAATATGGACCAAATCCTTTCATTCCTACAAAAGAAGAACGATATTAAAGAATTTGCTATATTTCCCCCATTGGGCCCCACCCCTCAGCCCCCAGGTGTGCCACACCCACTGTTTATACAAAATTGGTTCCCCTTCACCCAAGGATGCTCCAAATCAAATATGGAATAAATTCTTTCATTCCTACAGAAGAAGAGGGAATTTAAAGAATAATTTGCTATGTTTCCCCTATTTGGCCCCACCCCTCAGGCCCTTGGCGGGCCAGAACCACAGTTTATGCAAAATTGGTTCCCCTTCACCCAAAGATGCTTCAGACCAAATATGGAACAAATCCTTCCATTCCTACAGAAGAAGAAGGATTTTAAAGAATTTGCTATATTTCCCCTATTGGGCCCAACCCCTCAGCCCCAAGGGGGGCCACACACCCCATTTATACAAAATTGAGCCCCCTTGACCCAAGGATGCTCCAGATTAAATTTAGTCAAAATCTACTTTGCCGTTCAGGACTAGTGGCGTTTTAAAGGAAAAGTTGACAGAGGGACGACGGACGGACGACGGATGCTGCGGTATGGCATAAGCTCACCGTGGTCCTTTGGACAAGGTGAGCTAAAAAACAATATTCTACAATGCACACTCGCTAGTGGGTGCAATTAAAATTCCCAGACATCAGTTTATATAAATACAAGAGGCCCAATGGGCCTGCATCGCTCACCTGGTATAAATTTCACTTGTAACCTTAAGAGTGATCTAAAATAAAGCTACAGGCAAGATATTAGTATTCATGATTAAAATTCATTCAAAAGACCCTAGCTGTTAATTATTTTTTTTAAACATTTCACCCCTGTGATTGAAAGCCGAACAAAGTCATTATGTTGAACAAATTTTATAGCCTTTCATCTCAGGATGCAACTTGAAAAGTATCAACATCCTGGGACCCATGGTTATTCAGAAGAGGTTGTTTAAAGATTTTTAACAAATTTGATCCCTGTGACCTTGAATATAAGTCAAAGTCATTCACTTTAACAAACATAGTAGTCCTTGGTCCCAGCATGCTACTGACTAAACATCAACATCCTGAGCCTTTTGGTTATTCAGAACAAGTTGTTTAAATATTTTGAACTTATTTGCTCCTTGTTACCTTGAATATGATTCAAGGTCATACAGTTAAACAAACTTGGTAGCCCTTGATCCTAGTATGCTACTGTCTAAATATCATCACCCTGGGCATTTTGGTTATTGAGAAGTTGTTTCAAGTTTTTAACATATTTGACCCCTGTGACCTTAAATAAAGGTGAAGGTCATGCATTTGAACAAACTTTGTAGCCCTTCATCTGAGCATACTACTGGCCAAATATCATCACCCTGTGCATTTTGGTTATTCAGAAGAAGTTGTTTAAGTTTTAACATATTTGACCCCTGTGACCTTGAATATGGGTGAAGGTCATTCATTTGAACAAACTTGATAGCCCTTTACCTCAGCATGCTACTGGCCAAATATCATCACCCTAGGCATTTTGGTTATTCAGAAGAAGTTGTTTAAAGTTTTTAACATATTTGACCACTGTGACCTTGAAAATGGGTGAAGGTCATTTATTTTAACAAACTTTGTAGCCCTACATCCCAGTTTGCTTCTGACCAAATACTTCGCGCCAGGTGAGCTAATAAACCAACCAAATTTTGTGTACCTGTCATAAAAGTACTATTTGCTAGTTACCTGCAGAGTGTAGTATATTTGTATGAGGTTACACACATCCACCAGACTCGGGGGCATGACAGGGACCTGTAGAAAGTTCTGTAGATTGTCAAATTTCTCCGTGTAGTTGGGAGGCACACTTTCACTCTTGTACTCCCATACCCGATGAGTCACGTCCTTCCGCAGTCCGAGCACACCCTTGTTGATGAAAAACTCAACATTCTGTCCAAAGTAGAAAAACAGTTCCCTGAAGTGATAATGCTGTAAATGTTGAAAACGTTTTTTTTTTTTCCTTTTCTTATTTTGGCCCAGTTTGGAAGTGTTCCATCAGATAAAGATGTTTCATATATGTGATGCTGGTAAAATAAAAATCAGACTTCAAATCAATAGAATAGAGAATTGATGAGAATTCTTTTTGATGGCTAATTGTAATCTGTGCCCCAAAGACAGAGTTGGCTTGCGAAGATCTGTTTTCATCAACTTATCAGACAGTGGTATTGGTTATCAGACAGTGGTATTGGTTATCAGACAGTGATATTGGTTATCAGACAGTGGTATCGGTTATCAGACAGTGGCATTGGTTATCAGACAGTGGTATTGGTTATCAGACAGTAATATTGGTTTTCAGACAGTGGTATTGGTTATCAGACAGTGGTATTGGTTATCAGACAGTGGTATTGGTTGTCAGACAGTGGTATTGGTTATCAGACAGTGGTATTGGTTATCTTTTGTTTGAGTCAACAGATGATCCGGTTAAAATTTTATTGTCAAATCACCTTTATAACTAAAAAATGACCAACATATTTGATACAAGGGTCATTTGTCGACTCACCACCCACATTTCTGTATGACCCATATACCTGCATGAGTCAACAAATACCCCCATATATCTGTACGAGTCAACAAACGATCAATATACCTGTATGAGTCAACAAATGACCTCATATATCTGTATGAGTTAAAAACAAGCTATATTCCTGTATGAGCTGACAAAATACCCCACATACCTGTATGAGCTGACAAACAAGCCCACGTACCTGTATGAGCTGACAAATGACACCACGTACCTGTATGAGCTGTCAAATTACCCCATGGCATGAACCTGAATGAGCTGACAAATGACCCCACGTACCTGAATGAGCTGACAAACAAGCCCACGTTCCTGTATGAGCTGACAAATGACACCACGTACCTGTATGAGCTGACAAATGACACCACGTACCTGTATGAGCTGTCAAATTACCCCACGTCCCTGTATGAGCTGTCAAATTACCCCATGGCATGAACCTGAATGAGCTGACAAATGACCCCACGTACCTGACTGAGCTGACAAAAAAGCCCACGTACCTGTATGAGCTGACAAATGACCCCACATACCTGTATGAGCTGACAAACCAGCCCACGTACCTGTATGAGCTGACAAATGACCCCCCGTACCTGAATGAGCTGACAAAAAACCCCACGTACCTGTATGAGCTGTCAAATTACCCCACGTACCTGAATGAGCTGACAAATGACCCCACGTACCTGTATCAGCTGACAAATGACCCCACATACCTGTATGAGCTGACAAATGCCCCCACGTACCTGAATGAGCTGACAAAAAAGCCCACGTACCTGTATGAGCTGTCAAATTACCCCACGTACCTGTATGAGCTGTCAAATTACCCCATGGCATGTACCTGAATGAGCTGACAAATGACCCCACGTACCTGTATGAGCTGACAAATGACCCCACGTACCTGTATGAGCTGACAAATGACCCCACGTACCTGTATGAGCTGACAAATGACCCCACGTACCTGTATGAGCTGACAAATGACCCCACGTACCTGTATGAGCTGACAAATGACCCCACGTACCTGTATGAGCTGACAAATGACCCCACGTACCTGTATGAGCTGACAAATGACCCCACGTACCTGTATGAGCTGACAAATGACCCCACGTACCTGTATGAGCTGACAAATGACCCCACGTACCTGTATGAGCTGACAAATGACCCCACGTACCTGTATGAGCTGACAAATGACCCCACGTACCTGTATGAGCTGACAAATGACCCCACGTACCTGTATGAGCTGACAAATGACCCCACGTACCTGTATGAGCTGACAAATGACCCCACGTACCTGTATGAGCTGACAAATGACCGCACGTACCTGTATGAGCTGACAAATGACCCCACGTACCTGAATGAGCTGACAAATGACCCCACGTACCTGTATGAGCTGACAAATGACCCTTACATACTTGTATAAGCTGACAAATGACCCCACGTACCTGTATGAGCTGACAAATGACCGCACGTACCTGTATGAGCTGACAAATGACCCCACGTACCTATATGAGCTGACAAATGACCCCATGTACCTGAATGAGCTGACAAATGACCCTTACATACTTGTATAAGCTGACAAAAGACCCCACGTACCTAAATGAGCTGACAAATGACCGCACGTACCTGTATGAGCTGACAAATGACCCCACGTACCTATATGAGCTGACAAATGACCCCATGTACCTGAATGAGCTGACAAATGACCCTTACATACTTGTATAAGCTGACAAAAGACCCCACGTACCTAAATGAGCTGACAAATGACCGCACGTACCTGTATGAGCTGACAAATGACCCCACGTACCTATATGAGCTGACAAATGACCCCATGTACCTGAATGAGCTGACAAATGACCCTTACATACTTGTATAAGCTGACAAAAGACCCCACGTACCTAAATGAGCTGACAAATGACCGCACGTACCTGTATGAGCTGACAAATGACCCTTACATACCTGTATGAGCTGACAAATGACCCCACGTACCTGTATGAGTCGACAAAGGATCCACGCCTCCTGTCCACTGCCATTCTGCATCTCCACCTTGAGTCTGATGTTGTCACCACAACAGTAGGCACTTCGTTCCAGGGTGGCGTCCAGCGCTACAGGGCCTTTTGTGCAGCACATGCAACATGTGTAGCGTTTGTCGGCAGCCCTGGTCGGTGTCTGTGAACAACACAAGACAATTTTACAATACAGCACTTGTACTGTATGACCCGTTTCAGTCTTTGGGGATGACATTATAAGCAACGATTACACTGTGTTTTCAGTGGTTGTGGTCGGATAATAAACCTTCATAGTTATCATAGATTAATTTGACATTTACAGCTATGTAATGATACAGCTATGTAATGATACAGCTATGTGATGATACAGCTATATAATGATACAGCTATGTGATGATACAGCTATGTGATGATACAGCTATGTAATGATACAGCTATGTGATGATACA